GAGAAGAAAAACTATACAACAGCTGATTGCGTAGAGCCCACATGATAGACTCTACACAAAACCTGTCCCAGCCCAGGATTTCTCCAAAGACATTGACTTGATCCAGCCTGTTAGATCACTGCATTGAAGCGAGATTTGTCCATAGCTTTGCAGAGCTGCCGGTGTCTACGTACTGGACTCAGGGGCTGTTTTTTCCTTTTGTTTTCGAAAACAGAATCACAGCTGTGCCACTGCACTTCCAGAGTCATTGTCACAGGGAGAGAATCACTAAACCTAAAGAAGAATCTGGGTCTAGGCAAGGACAGAACACAACGTAATAGGAAGCCCAAAGTTGTCAATGTCAGAAAAGTAAATGAGGTACATAGCTTCATGGCACAGACTTTCACAAATCTTATGTAGACATTTTCAGTGAACTAAATAAATCCATGCTAAAAAGGAATATAAACATTATCCCTCACAGTTTCAGTCCATGATTAGCTGGGAAAAGGCAGAAATAGGATGGCAAAAAGCATGATGATGAAAGGTGCCAGGAAGCACAGAGAGAAGGAAAAAAATGGAGAACAGAATACACTTTTTCAGCTCGCACTCCCAGTGACATACTTCCATCCAGGTTACAGATCCTAGTATCACATTCACTTACTGAACTCTACAATCAATGTTTCCACAGATGCACATGTGGCCCCCACAAGTCAAACAACTTAAAAACACATGAGACATCTAGGGAACATTTTAGATATGAACAAAAAAGACAGGACACCTGACACATCACAGTCCCATACATAGAGTTAGGAATCTCTCTGCAACTCTCCTGATGTCACTGCACATTTTGCAGAGAAGCATGGGGGCAGGCACAGTGCTCCCTAATATAGGACACTGGCCATGCTCACGTCACCTCATTGGGACAGAATAAGATGCGTAAGTCTTAATTACTAGTACACTGTCACCGTGAGAGCAGAAAGGACCAAGGTTGTACAAGTAGAATTAGCAGTCCATATGTAAGAATAAAGACACCACAGCTGATAAAGGGAAAACCAAGTCCTGCCAAGAAAGGTTCTGTCCAGATAATAAAATTAACAACTACAAAACAACTAAAAGCAATGCAAAATCAGAATCAGTCAGATAAGTGAGTGAAGAGGCTGAAATACAAATTTCCCTACACTACTTAGGGTAATAGCTTGTGGCAAAGAAATGACATATCATCTTTTCAGCATACTAATAATACTATGATAACCTCATTAATTCCTTCAAAATTCCAAAGAGATTTAAGCTAGTAACACTCTTTTTAGTGTTGTAGTATAAAGCTGAGAGTGTCCCAAAATCCACCTTGTGGCCACCGCTGGCTGTAGGCAGATGAAATCAAGGAGATGCACTAAAAGTGAGCATAGCTGGTCTGTTCACCAAAATCATGATTCTGCAGAGGTTTATGAATGTGTACATTAAATGTAAAAGAAAAAAAGTTACGTCTAAATTTGTTTTGCTTCTTCAGATGAAGTCCTTTAGTTTCTAAAAATATCAGATCCTTATGGATAAAACATAAAACAAAATCTTCAAATCCTTCAGCAACTTCTCTCTTCTTTTGTACAAACAACATGCATCAAAAGAAATGATGGGGAAGACATTCACAAGAGAACCCATACTCAGAATGTTAAACATATTCTTGAGCTTACACACCACTCTCATTGTGCTCCATGAGCCCAGAGCGTCTCACTCACAGGTGGTGAAGAGGAACTTCCACAAATGCTTCTCAGCCATCCTCCCAAGGTAAAATTTCACTATTACCACAGGATTAATCCTGAAACATTATGGCAATTCATCCATTCATTGAAGGTTGACTTATGCCTTTCAAGTTGAATTTCAAAATTGAAACTTTTTTTTGTGGTTGAACACTAAAAATTCTCCAACAGTAACAGGCAAGCCCGAAGTTCAATACTCATACCACCCAGAGTCACCACAATTCTGTCAAATTCAGAGCCCAATTTTAAGACACATATTTCATTCAAAAAACAATTGTCTTGAAGTGGCATATTATAAAGGAGAATATATATTTACACTGTTTGGGGTATTATAATAGTTTAAGGTTCTTTGTTCCAGATTCTGGAAGAAATTATCATGTAAATAGAAATTATTATACACACACCACGTCTAAATTTACAGTATGAAAATCTCATGATCAAGGTGTAAGACTTCTCATAGTGAGCATGTTCTAGCAAATGCATATTTGATTTGGGTATTTAGCACAATGTATTCTCTGAGAGTATTCATCTTTTTATTGATTACTTCAATGGTTTTGCTTTACTTTTAATCTGTATATCAATATTCACTCCAGAAACCTCATTTTCTATTGAATAAAAAAATGAAAGGAGATTTTATGGTTTTTATTTTTTTATTTTTTTGGTACTGGGAATTGAACTCAGGACCTTGTGCTTGCCAGGCAGGTGCTTCTGCTGCTGAGCTGTCTCCCCAGCCCTGATAAGATTTTAAATGACACACACACACACACACACACACACACACACACAAAAAAAAAAATTTTAAATGACATTTAAAATTTAAAATTTAAAATACCCCAAACTGTGTAAATATATATGTGCACCAAAATATACTCTGTGCACCAAAAAAGAAGCTCCTGAGCATCATGGGATTGTCTCAAATCTGCTTGTGGAACAGCAAGTAAGAGAATGTTCCTTGGTGCATTTATATCAGTGACAGAATTAGACAAACCTGCTCTCCTGTAATTGTGGAAAGGCAAATGAAATGTTATGCACACAAACAATGGAGACCCTGACAATAACTACATCTACATGCAGCAGTGCAAATAATCTGGACTACGTCACTGGTTAAATTAATTAAAATACAAAATGAACTCTCTAACGTGGTATTTGAGCAATAACAATATTTGTACATGAGGTTGGGGTGTAGCTCAGTGGTAGAGCACATGTACAGTGCTCATCAGTATCTAGATTCTATAGCAAGCAAAGATAAAAGAGTTTTGGAAGTAACAGTAGCGGACAGACATAGCTTTACTGCTGTCCACCACCATAAGCAAGTATTTACTATATATCATTAATGTGAAAAAAGAATAAAATAAAAAGTCAATGTAAGATTTCCAGTGAATTTTTTATTTTTATTTTTTTATTTTTCAGTAGTGGAGATTTATCAGAAGGCTTAGGGCATGTTAAATGAATTACTGTTTAGTGGAGATAAATCACAAAATGTGTATTTCATATTGAAAGAGGGTCTTGCTCTATTGTCCAGGCCACACTTGATGTAATGTTCCTGTCTCAGTCTCCCAAGTAGCTTAGAATAAATGTGTCAATCACCACACCTCACTGATTTTCACTTTACCCAAGCATAGAACTCTTGGTAAATCGTGCTGAATAAAAGACCCCAATCAACTCACATAGTGCAACATGCATATCATCCTAAGAGTCAGTGAGGTACAAACAGCAGCAAAAGTTCACATTACCCTGTGAAATTTTTGGACTTGGTCTCAAAAATTTTTTTAAAAATTTTGGGGTCCACATCTAAGAGCAAAATTCCAGCGTTCAGTTCCTCTGCAATAAAAACACCAAGCACATCTTGAAATCTTTCTGTATCCTAGGGAGGCCCATTTTCATTCTACTCCAATCATGGTGTCCACACTTTTTAAACCTACACCAAGGACAAAGTTTTCTAACTTCTGATTTTGCCTCAAAAATATTTAGGTGAGTTGATCAGTGACAACAGAAGACATATTTATCTCTTTTTCAGTTCCCCTCCATTCTGCAAGACTGTGACATTTAGCTAACTCAGAGATGAGGCAAGCACACAAGTCCTCCTTCCTGCTTACCCTACAAACAATCTGACATTCACAGAAGAACTGCTCTCTTGTAGCCGCTCCTACTGGCAGCCTACATTATGCCATTCTCTTCCATATCCTACTCACTCTCTTTTGATCCACCCTAAGCAGAAAACCCTTTAGGCCAAACTATTGATATTCCTGCACAACTTCTACTTGGGGCTTCTCTTCTACTCTAGTACTCCTTTTGAAGTCTACCTCAGAGATCACTTCAGTATTTAAACTGTGTCTATGATTATGCCAAGCTTTATAGCTATTAAATCTGAGATGACATCCCTGTCTCTAGCCACTCATACCCATCCACATGTATATGTCCATGCACATGCCCCAGTTCATGTGTTTCTCAGTGTGGGTTTAAAAAGGCAGCCCATTCTGAAAGTTGTCCTTAGCAGGTACACTTTCCCCTGCCCTTGCTTTATTTCACATCTGCTTTATTTTTCTCGGAACTCTAAACTCTATGGCAGTCCTCATGTAAACAGTCTAACTGTGAGTAGGGATGTCACCTAAATAATTAAATAAGATTATAATTTTTTTTTTTTTTTTTTTTTTGCATTTCTCTGTATAGAACCCAGGGGTTCAGTGGGTGTTGGGCAAGTGCTCCACCACGGAGGCACATCACCACCACTCTTCTGTGAATTATAAGGACCTTTGTCAACACCCATCTAGGATTTAGAAATGTGAGGACACGCTGGAAATTTAAGAGATCACTATAAATATAAAAACTAAACGTTTGAGGACTTGTGGCTGTCAGTCTCTGCATCACATTTATAAATTTCAGACCCTCCAGATCTGCTGCTGGCAGAAATGAGACCAGGGACCTAACTCACCACAGCTGCACCAAAGTCCAAAGCACATCTAAGTCAGGGTCCCCCGAAGCCCTTTCTTCTCCCAGAGTGGTGGAGTTGTGAGGGCAACGGAGAGGGGGGGTGTTTCCCAGATGGCACTGTGGGCTGGCGGTGTTACAATGGGGACAGGGTTCTGGAGGCACAGAACTAGACTTGTCCAAGCAAGGGATAAATGGGACAGAGAATGACGCACAGCCAGGAGGATCTCAGGGTCTGAAGCTAAGCAGGGAGTGTTTAGCCAAGATACCTGCTTTCGACTTCTAACTGGTCTCATCCCATTTCCACCCTATTTCAGGGCTCCCATCCCACAACATCACCATTGCGTGGCTTGACGTTCCCCAGGTTCTTTCCTATTCAGGCGAATCCAGTAGAAGCCACATCAGGTGGTCTAGCTTTCTGCTTTCGGGATTGTACTCAGTACACGCACTGTGGCGCCATGACACCGAAAGAAATCTCCTACCTTGGCAGGCCTGATAGGACAGTTCATATAGCCCGCCCCCTCATCACTGATTGGCTCCTGCTCTATTGCCCTCCCTCAGAGCCAAGAATAAACACGGGAAAAAATCCCTACCTGTAAGAGTCGATCCCAAATGAAAGACTGTAGTGCACACACTTCTGGACCAGGTTGTATGTCGTCTACACTTTGACCTCACCTTGCCTGAGGGATACTTGCATTGAAGGGCTCTATCCCTGCCTTTTCACAGATGCTCCTATTTTCCTAAAGGACTCAGCAGACTCTTCCTGAAAATGGGTCACAAATATGTTCAGAAGGATACAGTGTCAACATTCTAGGGAAGAATCAACCCTTTGAAGTCAGAAAACATCCTGAGCCCAGCCCAGGCCAAGACACAAAGGGATAGAAAGAGGGCAGGCTGTTTGAGATGTCCATGTTTTGGAGTGAGGCAGCAGGCTTCATTCAAGTGTCAAGATTTTCACACTTCTCTCTCTCATCTATTCATTTTGAGCCAAGAAAAAGAATATATGCCCACAAAAGGAAGACAATTGTGTAAATGAAGAAATTAGAGTTGAATGATAGCAATATTCTGCAAAAGAGTAAAGACGAAAGGAAAGCAAACATTTCAACTCTCCCTGACAACCTTGTTCCGTATCTAGGGTCATAAAAAACCTAAATTCTGAAAGTAAGTGTATTGCCATGCATGAAGGTCATAATGATTGCTGAAATGGAGCCACATTCCTCACACCAGCAACCATTTCCTTGTGATGAGGCGGGGACGCATAACAACTTGAAACTAAGCACCACATGCCCTACAGTTCCTTCCTCATAGATTGAAACTGCATTTTTAGGATTTTAATTTTTTTTTCTTTTTTTTTTTTGAGACAAGGTCTCGCTATGCAGTTCAGGCTGGCCTTGAGCTCACTTTGTAGCCCAGGCAGGTCTCGAACTCGAAACGATCCTCCTGCCTCAGCCTCCCGAGTGCTGGGCTTATAGGCGTGTGCCACCACACACAGCGAGGACTTTACTATTTCTAGAAGGAATATATTGTCTGGAGTCAAGTGATATGCTTGTAAACAAATTATTTGGCTTCAGAGATGTGCAGGATATTAGTAAAGTATATTTCTGTATGTCTCTGGTGGATTCATGTGAGTTTGAACTTTTGGCCCAAATCTCCCTCAGTCCTTCCTCTCAGGCTCCTTCATTTCATAAAGAAGTTATGAGAACTTTCACGGGTAAGGGAGATGAGCCGTATTTTTCCTTATTTTTTGATATTCTATTAAAAGCAGAGGAACTAGACTAAGAAACCTCATAATGAGGGGCCATAATAAAGGTGAATGTAGACTGTGGACATGAGAAAGTCAGATGGCAAATGATTTCCTTTGGGAAATAAATGAAGCCAGAGAGCAAGATCAGATGTCCGAGGAGAGATTCAATAGCCATGAGACATCAGCCTGATACAGACAAAACAGGACAGAAGAGACTAGAATTCCAGACAAATGCTTCAGTAAAAAGAGGACTGAGAGACATATTGAGGGTCATCAAATTTAGCCTAGTCCTTGTCTTCCCAAGAATGCTCTACATGATACTACACTTCCAGAAATATGACTCCATAAAATGACTTTTATCTGCCAAAGTCTTAATAAGATGCCACAATAACAAATCTGAGTTTGCGTTCTATTCAGTTATTTTATAACTGTCACTTGAGAGGTTAAAGCTCTACAGAGCCACTCGCTAGACAACCTTTTGATTATGACTGGAACACTGCTACCCAGTCTATCTTGGGTCTTTCACTCAGCCAGTTCATCGCTGTTATGAATCATGCTTTTGTGTTGTGTAATGAGTATCTTTACTTGAAATAAGTAAAAGTGATACATAGCAAAAGATTGCCACTATCCAGGCCATTGACAACATGCAATACATCTAAAGAAAAACTGTTCAAGCCAATAATGTAGAAAAATTTCTAAACAACTACATATCAACTTTTTTATATACAGGAGATGACTTAATGACATGGCAATGTGTAGTTGTTATCATGTTACACCCTCAAACTGGTTATTTTACATTTCTAATGACTAATGTATAAAACAGAAATGTCACTGTAAATTCTATTACGCTCTTAAAAATGTAGTAAAAGGGAACATCTTTAGGGCACGTCATAGAGCCATAATCATGCTAATTTTGCTCAGTTTCAAAATTATTACTTTCATTTAGCATAAATGTAGTAAATAAAACATGTATTATATACAATGAAATGTTTTCATGTATGCTTATATTGTAAAGTGATTACAATTCCTCAAGCCAGCATACTTATCACCAAACACATTCTCCTTTAAAGTATTTGGGGAAAAAAACTAAAAGCAACTCTCGGGGCTGGGGATTTAGCTCAGTGGCAAAAGCGCCTGCCTGGCAAGCGCAAGGTTGTGAGTTTGGTTCCCGGTATCAGAGAAAAACCCCCAAAAATAAATAAATAAATAAAAAAATAAATAAAAGCATCTCTCTTAGCAAATAGCAACTGGATAAGGGACACTACACCAATCACTGTAATCACCATGTGATCTGTAAGTGTTTTGTAGATCACAAAAGAAACATTGATTTTTTTTTTTTAAATTAACGTTTCTCAATTTCACCAACCCCTCATGTGACAGCCATCGCTGTGCTCCATAACACTGTAGGATTGACAACTTTAGATTCTAAATATGACTATGGTCAAAGTTGAATTTGTTTCTCACATTTTCCTTAAAGATCTCCTAGTTAATCTATATTTTCACAAATGATTCTTTCTTTCTAGTCTAAATAATATTTAATTGAATAAATGAGCTTCACTTTATCCATTCAAATATTGCTGTGATTTTATCATAGGCAGTTTAATTAGACCTAATTGATATACTGTCAGAGACAGGCTGGGCCCCCCAAAATATAAACAGAGAAAACTAAAATTATAAAAAACACAGCTGAAGGAACATCTGAAGAAGCCCAGGCCCCAAGGTGAAGAAGCAATGCCCAGGCCTACATGTCTCCCACAGGAATAAACAGTAACTTGAAAATAAACTAATTACCACCACCTCTTCCAGTAAGTCCAGATAGCTATCAGTTATCTAGGTTGGGGACAAGAGCAACTGAACTCATTCCTTCTCCAAAATTACTTTGCTCTTTCCATATACCCTTGCTACATGACTTGTTTCCCTGTTGGAATTATTACCTAAGCAGCTACATTCCTATAGGCTGATTGTAATTTGACCCACATTGTGACTTTGCTGTATCAATTACCACCGACAATAGGCCTCTGTTGCCACCACACAGGGAACCACTCCTGAAAACCCAGGAGCTATTCTTCTCCTTATTTCCAATAAAACTCTTCTACCTCTCCTTTGGTTTGCAATTTCATTCCTCAATGCTGTGAGCCCACATACTTGGCGCATTTGACATGTAACAGGGCAGTTCTATTTCTCCAATATCAATTTGAATATAAAATGTCTTCTAAAATACATGTCTTAAAGGCTTGGTTTCAAGCCACTTGTCCGTTGTGAACTGAACACTTCCAAGTACATTCTGAACTCCTCAGTCTAGTAATTTGCAGAAATATTGGAGGAAGGAGGTCACTGGGTGCTTCTCTCACAAAGTGGGTACCATTCATAACCTTGCTTTTGTTACTGCTTCCTAGCTTTCAACAGGTGACCAACTTTCCTTTGACACTTTCTGTAATTCCAATTTCATATATTTGAATTTTAATTCAGTTCAATTATTTTTCCTTTTTATACTTTGTTTTTTGTTTCCTTTTTTTCTTTTGGTTTTTAAAAAGAGTCTATGTAGTTCTGACTAACCTTGAGCTCACTGCGTAACCCAGGTTGTCCTTGAGAACATGGCAATTGTCCTGCCTTGGCTACTTGTGTGCTGGGAATGGAGGGGTGCATCACCACACTTGGCAGTCTGTCTTTTCTTTTTCTTTTCATCTTTTCTTTTTGGCAATGGCATTTAATCCAGGTCTTTGTAAAGTTTTCTGCAGCTAAGCAGTTCTAGGCCTCAGTATTCTCTAGGTAAAGAACATAATATTTGAATACCACTCTTTATTATGTTCATCCTTATAATAAAGCCTGCCCTAAAGACACAACAGGCCAAACTCATCAGATCTCTCATTTTCTTCTCTCTGGTCTTTCTTCATCATGATCTATCAATACTCTTTCTAGCTCTAGTCTCAATAGTATTGACGCTCATTCAAATTTGATTCATATTGCCATCTGTGATGTTTCTTGATTCTGGAATAGTCTAGCCTGGCATTGCCAACACATCAGAAACAGAAACGCAGTGTCTGATCTCCTGAGCTCCATTAAATTATACATTAATTTGTTGACAACCAAAGTAAAGATGCACTACAGACATGTGGAAAAGAGAAGCTTCTGCATACTTGAATTCTTAATCAGGTGCAATATTTGGTGCTGTCATCATCCAAGAACATCAGGCTCCAGTGTTCAACCTTTGAACATAGATCTTTACTAGCCACTGTTTTATGGGCCTTGAAATTCTTCCCCCTTGGACTGCGGTTGCTTTATTGGTTCTTGTTCTTAATCTTCTAGCTTCATTTGAGCAGTCAGTGGTTCCCCAGGTTTAAGCCTTTAGGCATCCATGATAGGAGTATTCACCCTGATTATATAAGAAAATTTTAAAAAATCTTTTATGAGAAAAGTAGAAAAAGAAACTCTTATATACATGTGTATACACGTTTCACTGCAGTCCACAGATGAACAGCACTGAACCCAGGAGAGAATGTAATGAGGCTGGTGTTCTGTGCTCATCACCATTACAGTACAGTTTTGAACTGGTTACAGATGTTCCTCGAGGTCCAAAGTGGAAATGTTTGAGCAAGCAAAAAATTGAAATAAAATATACTGAATATTCATTTAATATAGTGCATCTAATGATCATAACAGTCATGCCTTTGCTACTTTAACATGCTCATATTGACCTGTAGTCTAGTAGAAAAACCTAACAGAGTGCATTTCATAATAAAATATTACATATAATGTACTGAATAGAGTCCACGGAAGAGTATTTATTGTTTATTCATGGCATGTTTGCTGACAGAGCGGGGCTCACTGCTGCTGCCCAACACAAATTCTGAGTATTGCTTTTGTAAACAGGAATATGCACGGATCATTAAAATAAGTTTTTAACTCTCTGGGAAAATACCCACAAAAGAAAGCACTACACTGAATGGAATTATTTCTAGTTTTTTGAATACTTTCTACATAGACTTCAAAAGTGGTTGACCTACTTACATTCTTACCAACGATGTTGAATGGTTCCTTTACCCTGAAGTCTCATGAACCTTTTTTTTTTTTGGTTTTTCTCCAGTACCGGGAACCGAACTCACGACCTTGCGCTTGCCAGGCAGGCGCTTTTGCCGCTGAGCTAAATCCCCAGCCCCTCATGAACCTTTTTTTTAGTTCATGGTGATGTGGTCTTTCTGGGATGAAATGATAGTCCAATTTGCATTTCTCTATTGGGCAAGAATGCGCAATCATTTTTCAGATTTATTGGCAATCTGTACTTCTGAGAAGTGTGTATTCTTTTCAGTTGTATGTTAATTTCAGATATTAGGTCTCTGAGGAGTATCAGGCAAAATTCTTCCTTTCTGTAGGTTATTTCTTCATACTTTTTTGGTGTTTTTGCTTTCATGTTTGTGCAAGAGTTTTCAAATTTCATGTAATCCTTTTTTGTTTGTTGTGTCATCTTATTTTCCACCCAAACCACCAGCAACAGCATTGACAGAACAAATTTTTTTTTGTCTTTACATTCGTAGAATAAGATGCCAGGCTCACTCATGTTTCACTGTTTCTATTTTACCCTGATGCAGCATATATGTGACTGCTGCACAAATTACCATGAAAAGTGTATTTCCTGGGTAAAAGAATCATAGTGATTTGCATTGGTGATTTTTTTTACCCTATCATAGGTTTACAGGGGCTGGGGATTTAGCTCAGTAGCAGTGTCTGCCTGGCAAGCGCAAGGTCGTGAGTTTGGTTCCCAGTACCAGAAAAAAAAACAAAAAACAAAACAAAACAAAACAAAACAAAACCATAGGTTTATGTTCTTGACCTGAAATTGTTTCTTTCCTTAAACTTCAAATGCAAGTATAAAAACAACTGCTTCATAGTTTCCTACGGCAACTAGCTAAGTTGCCCCCCAAAGTTAGCTTTAAAATCATGATCATCCTGTTTCAGCCACTCCTGATGCTGGCACTAAAGGAATCACATTTGGCTTAGACCTTTATATAGTAACCACTTACTAGTGCAACTATTTAAAATACAGGATGACCAAAACTTGCATATTTTTAAATTGTTTTTTAAGATAACAGGAAATACAAAAATGATAATTTTGTCTGATGTATCCAATACAAGAATCAACTTGTTAAAATGACACCAGCCCCAGTGATGCTCAGGATAGTCAGGACGTAAACAAATGTTCTGCCCCAGTGATGCTTGGGGTCAACTGTTAAGTGGTCATGTGAGAAAAGGACAACCACTGATGTGTAATAGTATTAAAATAATTTTGATACTGGGGAGTAAACCTAGAAGTACTAAAGCACTAGGCCACATATGCAGAACATTTACACATATTCTGAGACAGTCTTAGGTGAATTCGAGGGACTCAACTTTTCTTCCACCAGCTTAAGCCTCCTGAGTTGCCGGGATAATAAGCATGCATCAACTAGACCAGCAAGATTTATTTTCATGGTAACATAATGAGAAAATAAATGTCCTTAGGATAAGTGTCTTTCAGATTCAATAGTCCATTACTAGCCGGAAAAGCAACACATGCAACATGTCTTCCTGGTGATGGTAAGAAGCAGAAATGTGCTACAGGGAAGGTGGCTACATACTGTATGGTGTAAAGGTGGATGCTGTACTCTACAGGTTCTTTTATTCTGTCAATTATGTCAGATATTTCAGATACAAAATAAACATAATTTTAGATGCTATTACACACAAATTCACTGTCTCAGCAAAATTAAAACTAGGGCAAACTTACTCACTGCATTAGGGGTATTTAATGCAATGCTCACTTATGTTTTCAAGGGTGTAAGAGTTGATACACTGTGTCTACTTGAGGAGTTTAGAAGCTTAACTGAGTCAGCAGGGGACCAGATCCTAAATTTGTAAACATCCTGAGCCTATGCAAGGAGGGGCTGGGAGATGATGTGGTGCTACACCCAACCCACAGCAGGTAGCCTGCATACAATACAAGAGAGGAAAAGAGGCTTGTCCCCTTTTTTCTCTTGTTGCTTTTGCTGTCTTTTACCAGCATAAACTGTTGCCTCTTTGCCATGCCATTGTGCAAAGAGCCAGGTAATCATGGACTGAAACCTGCACAAAATGTGAGATAAATAAACCTGTCCTTCCATAACTTTGGGTGTCAGGTATTTTGTCCCAGCAATGAGAGAAAAGTATCCAAGAAAATGGTACAATAGGTTTGTAACACCATAACCCCATCAGAAATTGAGTAGCTTGCATAGGCTAAAACACTTTACAAATTACATCAATGTTAAATAGAGAGTAGAAAGTATAGGTCAAAGGATACCAACTGGAACTCATGCACATACCTTATACCTTGTCCCACTCTATGTGTTTGAAAGCAACTGGCACATACCGTAAACATGAGACAGCTGTCTTTATGAACAATGAGAAATGGCATTATACAAATTTATCTCAAAAACTGGTAAAACAGAGCACATCTGAATTACAACTTAATAGAATCAATTTCTACCAAACTGACTGGTAACTCACACGCATTAGATTTTCCTTCAAGCAAGTTCACCATATTAGGTAAAAACAATAATGACTACCAAAGACAGAATGGCATCACAGCATCAAGAACAGAATAAATACATTTGCCTTATACAGACAAGAGCAACCATTCTCCCTTGTACAACTACAAAGCTAAAAAAAATTCCTTTCGAAGTGTTGTTACTAGGGCTGGGGGATTAGCTCAGTGGCACAGCACCTGCCTGGCAAGCGCAAGGTCATGAGTTCGATTCCTGGTACCGGAAAAACAAACAAACAAACAAAAAAGTGTTGTTACTGATAAATCACATCATCATTTATACTTTCTGGAGGGGAAAGCAGAATTTCACAGAACTATGGCTTATTTTTGGTACACATGGTAGAAAAATTAACACTAAATTAAAAGCCATTGCAATATAAACATGAAAAGTAAAATTTTGATGGTAAGAAAACATAAACATTTATGTAAATGATAATATAGGCTCCAGTAAGAAAAAAAAAATGCAACAATATGAACATGATAGAATATACAGTAATGTTAGGATATAAGCAGTTATCTTTTCACAACATGAAAAATGCAGCATTTGCTAATCTACAAGTTCTGCAAAAAGAACTCAACTCTGTCAAAAACACATGCTCATGAACCTCTCAAAGATATATATCTTAATATAAAAATGAAGCATCAAATTTAGAAACATCATTTGATACACAGAAGAGAGAGCATATGCACAAAAATTTTTTTTAAAAACCACAGTGGTGAAATTCCAACAATTAACTAAAAAAATAAGAAGTTTTTAGCGGCCTATACCTCCCAATTTTAAAGACAAAACATTAATCATATAGAAACTGACTGTACTTGAATGTAAAAAGTACATTTTTCAATTCACTGTGTTTAATTAAAAGACACTACAGGGCTGGGGATTTAGCTCAGCAGCACAAGGCTGCCTGGCAAGCACAAGGTCGTGAGTTCAATTCCCAGTACCGGGCCACACACACACACACACACACACACACACACACTACAGATTTAACCACCAAGACAGTTAAAAATACAAAATTATGTCAACTCAATATTTTTATATTAAACCCTACAGATACATAATCTAGATATGCATAAGTGATTTATTGAAAACCACAACTTATATGTACTTTGGGATCGCTCCATCTAGGATTTGTATTTTCTGGAAAATTTGTGAAGAAATATTGACATCAATCTTTTTGTATTAAATATTTTTTCAGATTTCTACTGTATGAAAACTTCACAGGATTTTCACAATCAGCTTACACATGTAACATTTCTCCCCAGTGAGGATTTGTTCAGGTATTTAACAATGTGTATGGACTGCCATCTTTCCCACATTGCTCATATATATATATAGTATTTCTGCCCAGTAAGTTCTTTCATGTATGTGAAAATCATCATGTGTGCCGAAAGTATTTGCACATTGCTTACATACATAGGATTAATCCCCAGAATGAATTTTTTCATGTACTTTACATTTACTGTGCCTGCTGAAAGCTTTCCCACATTGCCTACATACATAGTATTTCTCCCCATTGTGAATTCTTTCATGTATTTGACAAGATCTGCGTGTGGAGAAAGCTTTCTCACATTGCTTACATACATAGGGTTTCTCACCTGTGTGAGTTCTCTCATGTATTTTACAACTACTATACCTGTTGAAAGCTTTTCCACATGGCTTACATACATAGGGTTTCTCCCCACTGTGAAGTTTTTCATGAATTTGACAATTCCCATGTGTGGTGAAAGCTTTTCCACGGTGTTTGCATACACAGGGTTTCTCCCCTGTGTGAGTTCTTTCATGTATTTTACAATCACGGTACCTGTTGAAAGCTTTCCCACATTGCTTACATATATAGGGTTTCTCCCCTGTGTGAATTCTTTCATGTGTTTGACAATGACTATTTCTGCTGAAAGCTTTCCCACATTGTTTACATATATACGGTTTCTCCCCATTGTGAAGTCTTTCATGTATCTGACAAGAACTGCGTGTGGTGAAAGTTTTCTCACATTGCTTCCAAACATAGGGTTTCTCCCCTGTGTGAGTTCTTTCATGTATTTTACAATCACGGTACCTGTTGAAAGCTTTCCCACACTGTTTACATATATAGGGTTTCTCCCCAGTGTGAAGTCTTTCATGTATTTTACAATATGCATGTGTGGTAAAAGCCTTCCCACACTGTTTACATACATAGGGTTCTCCCCAGTGTGAGTTCTTTCATGTCTTCCACAATGAGTGTTTCTGCTGAAAGCTTTCCCACATTGCTTACATACATACGGTTTCTCCCCAGTGTGAAGTCTTTCATGCATTTGACAATATGTACGTGTGCTGAAAGCTTTCTCACACTGCCTACATACATAGGGTTTCTCTCCAGTGTGAAGGCTTTCATGTATTTGACAATATCCA